GGGTCAGGAAGCAATTTTTCTCCAGGCCGGTTTGGCCAGGGATCCTGGAGGCTTTTTGTCATCTTCTGGGCATGAAACAGCGGTCACTGCAGGTGCAGAGGGGGAGGTATTTGTGAATTTTCTGCATTGTGCAGGGGGTTGGACTAGATGACCCTGGAATTCCCTTCCAACTCTATGATTCTATGATTCTAAATCTCTCTTCCCTGCTAGGTGTCATTTTCTGCAGCCAGACACTGACATTTTAGTGTCTTCATTACTGGAAGCCATTCACATTTCTAAAGCCTGGCTGGGTAGGGCTAGAGGTGCAATAGACTTGACCCCCCCCCCAATAAGAGAGAGAGAGAGACAGACTTTTTAAAAACTAGAGGTGTGGGATTTGTACAGTCCAAACCTGCAGAATAAAACACATTTCTCCACAATAAAGTTTGAGTCCATAGCTTACGAGTTCTCAGGCCACACGTGTCCTAGCTATCTGGGAGAACATGCTGGAACAGAGTTCCAGAACCTCTTCAACAAAATTCTTTTTAAAATGTTTAAAATTTCATGAGTTTTCAGTATGCAGATTGAAAACTTCATTTCCCTCTTGAGAGTTTCCGCACCTTAAAAAACACACAAAAAAGCCGTGGCTGTGCTCATTACTATAAGAATGGGACCTCCATCAAGGAGTTAAGAAGGAACTGGGGGGGGGGCATGGCTCTTTCTTTGGACCAGATGACCTGAAAGGGCACTTTGGGCTTAACCCCTGAGCATTCACAGAGTATAAACCCAATATTCACAAAGCAAAGTGGAATTTATTTACACAAATACCTAGTGTGAGATGTCATTTTACCATATCGTTTCTTTGTTTACATTTCATTGCAAAGATTTTAATTTCCTTTCATTGCTTTGAAATCAATGGCAACATGGATGCCTGCCATCTCCTCTTCTCTCTGTACTCCCCTAGCAGCATTTAGTGTGTGGCCACAACTTCTGTTGCTATGACAACAGCTCCAGGCTTGTGGCAGCCAGCTGATAGGTGGGAGGGGGGGCCTCAAAAACCTCTCCCTCCCTAGCAGCTTGGGTGCTGTTTCTGGTACAACTGAGGCACTGTGCCTGCTGCACCCAAGGAATGTCGGCCTCAGAGTATCTGGCAATACCAGCCATAGCAAGCCAGTGAGTAGTACCTTGAGGAAGTGGGAAGTAGGAAGACGAGGGCTAGAGGAGAAGGGAGCAGATGAAAAGGAGGAGTGAATGAAAAAAAACACTATTTATTCATCATTCTCCTTTGTTTTTGATTTTCAAGTGAATGAAATGAATGCCTTTTTCCTATTCATTTGGTTCATTTCTTTGTGAACAAATGCACAACTCTAACAACCACATTAGCATCTGATGACATTGCTGCATTTTATAATGTGTGTTTATTTCCTTTGAGCTTTTAAAGGGCCATTATTCGAGCTTTTTGTCACTCTCTCTATACTAGACTCAGCCCTTTGCCAGTCTCCACCCAACCAATGAAAGAACTCAGGGAAACTGGGGGGGGGGGAGTCCAAGGAAAAGTCCTGGGTCCCAGAATCCCTCAACACTTTTAAAGGACCATTAAGCAGAAGGTGGGCACTAGTTCTACTCTCCTCAGTTCATCAGTTGACAATACTTTTATTCATTCATTCATTCATTCATTTATCAGATTTATACCCCGCCCTCTCCGCCGAAGCAGGCTCAGGGAGGCTTACAGAAGGATTGAAACACATAAATAACAGTTAAAACAATCCTAAAACCTTCTAAAAACAACCAAATATCAAAGGTGCTAGTGCATAATAAATCTGGTAATAGTAATGATGTTGTTTGGTGATGGCGACAGCAAATCAATGAACTTTCCTGTTGATCCACTCCTTGTTCTGTTTCAGAGGTGTCAAGCTCATTTGTTACAAGGGCCGGATTGGACATAAATGACACTTTTTTGGGCCGGGCCATGTGTGCCATAAAATACAAACAAAAGCAATTGATTCCTAGCAGTGAAAGCAATTGATTTACTGGGCAACCCACAAAAGCCCCAATAAATGTGTTTAATCATATGCAAGACTAGGACTGATTTCTCACAAGCCACTGCTCCACCCTCACGTTTCCCTTTCCCTCGATTACATTAGTCAATTTCCCACTACTTGCTGCATGGCCGCATTTTGCACTGCAGCTTCGCCCGATTTCCCCCACGTCTACTGTTTTTTGAGGATCAAGTAGACGTGGGGGAAATCGGGTGAAGCTGCGAGGCAAAATGCGGCCGCCAGCAAGTAGTGGGAAATTGACTAATGTAATGGGGGGGGAGCACGAGGATGGAGCAGTGGCTTGTGGGAAATCAGTCTAGGTTTTTTCCAAGGGACACCATAAAAGGGGGAGTGCTTTACATTTCCGTACATACCAATTGCTTGTGGGCCAGGTACTGGTGCCTCCAAGGGACAGGGCTTGCAATTATTGGGGGCGGCTCCCTAGTTGGTCTGGTGGAATAGCTGGCGTTCACTCAGTGTTTCAACTGTGGTGGGGAGGTCAACATTTTTATTTATTTAATTTTTTAATTTAATTAATTAATTTAAAATAAATTCATCTACAACCAAACAACACATTACCATACTGAACATCCCTGATGTACAGTGCAATCCTAAGCAGATCGACTTAGAATCCTACTCAGATCTAGTCAATAGGACTTCCTTCCAGGAAAATGTTCTCAGGATTGCAATATAAGTCACTTTTTCCTGATCACTAAAACATGCTAAATGGGAATATGCACTCATGTTGATGTGGTTACATGACTTCTGATGGACACGACAGGTACTGATCAACATACCCTAATGTGGTTGTGCACTAATACCCTGCCTGTCTGCTTTATTCTGAAATGCTCATACCCTGTCAGGGAAGGGGCCCTGGCAACCCCATGAGGAGCTTAGGGTGATGGACAGTTGCAGCTGTGGGTAAGAGGCAGGCAGCAGCCTCTGATGTGAACAGTGGGGGGAGGGATTCCACAGTAACTATTCTAGGCTGTGACAGCCACAGGTAGCCATGCTGATCCTTGAGTCAGCTGAAGCGCTAAGCAGAAGAGAATGGACAGGGCATAAAGATAGCAAATGCTCTGTCTGTTCCAGTGGTGCTTAAAGAGCTTTCTTTGCTTTTCACCTTTTAAGACAGCTTCTTCTGTGCCACACTGTCCTGGGAGAAATGAATGCAAGTGGGATCAACAGAATGCTGGCGTAGGTTCACAGCATTCATAAGGAACTGCAGAATGCATTTGTTCTCCCTACAGTAATACAAAACCAGATTCATATTGCCTCCTCAAAGTTTATCCACTGAGCAACAGTAAAAAATGAGGGGAGGGAGTGATTGTAGCTCCCACCCCCATTTTGATAACTACTTAGAAAGAAAAAAGATGGCAGGCTATTTTTTTATTGTTGTTGATCTGATTGGTTAGTAACACTAGATTAAATGTGTCATTGTAAAGTCTGTGATCACACACAGATGGAGCACCTAGATGAGTCACATTTATTACTGTGAATTGATTTCATAAGTAGCAAAAAGTCTTAAAGAACATGGTATGCACAATTTTTTCTCTCATTTTCAATTCACTATTCATTTTCATTATTTTAGTTATTCAAGGTCTATGCTTTGTTATTTATTTATTTATTTATTCCTCTACTCCAGGCATGTCCAACTTCGAACAGGTAGTGATCTATTTTTTCAGGCCAAAGGTGCCGGTGATCTACCGCCATGAAAATAAAGTTTCAAATTAGTTTCAAATTAGATTTTAAACCACTAAAGTTGGGTTCCACTGGCCCCCCCCCAATTTATAATGCACCTTCTGTCATTTACTGGTAAGCAAAATTCATCATACTGGCACCAATAATCAAATGCCACCAAACAATCATCAAAAAACCCCAAACACCTGTCCAGCAAACCAGGAGACCAAGTGGGGCTGGTGATTTACCTCTGACCCCTCCACGATCTACTGGTAGATCACGATCTACCTGTTGGACATACCTGCTCTACTCCATACCCTGAGCAGTCTGGGCTGGTGGATTAAGAACTCTCTGGCTGCGGTCACACACACTAAATAATCCACTTTCATTCCACTTTCAGTGCACTTTCCAACTGGATTTTTACTGTGTGAACTGGCAAAATCCAGTTGGAAAGTGCATTGAACGTGAATTGAAAGTGGATTATTTAGTGTGGCTTTTTGTGAAAGTGTCGCCACGACTCCCTAACAGATTTAAAACACACCACCAGAGGGCCACATCTGCATCCTGTCTGGCACTCTTCGCCCTCCCACAATCAACCCTCTTCCGTCACAGTTTTCTCAACATCGGAAAAATCAGGTACTTTATGGTTGTTTCTGGCTTCACCCTACATTTCCACCTGCCTCCTAGTGATTTGAAGCTGTTTAGGACGTCTGAACATTTTCCTTGCTCTTTTGCCATTTAAAAAAACAAAAAACAGTTGGTGATGTGTGCATGACTCGATCACCACTTGTGTGTTTCAGCTGTCTCCTGCCTACAGCTTTGTGACACATGGAGTAGGGAAGGGGTTAATTGGCAAGAGGGGGAGGGAGTCTGAGAACAAAGCCAGTGACTTCAGTTTCACTCCAAGTTTTTAAATAAAAACACCAGTAGCACACAGGACACAGGATGAAGCTTCTCTATCCCCCCCCTCCTTCTTTAAAACATTTGAAACATGGAATTTCTCAGAAGCACAGTTTCAAAAACACTACGCTCACACTGGACTCCATTTCCCAGCAGCCTCCTCCAGCAATCCCATTGGCCACCAGCTGCCGCCATTCTATCAGGAGTTTGAAGCGCTAATTCCCATCAGTGCTTATGTGCATGCCTGGAAGAGTAATGATTTTAAAAAAGGCTGCATCTGATTAATCAAGGACGGGGTGAACGTGCGCTGAGGAAGGTTAAAGGGTTCAGTTGGATCAAAACTCTCTGTTACAAAAAAAACCCTGGATCAATGAGAACCGAGGACACACTGGATCATTTTGCCCGTCTGACTGCAGCCTGTGTGTGGCCACAGCCTCCCTCTCTCATCTCTCCCTCTCTCTGCGATGATGTGCTGCACTCCTGTGCACCTGAAGCCTAGAGCTGCCAGCTCTTAGAAAGCACAGACCTGGTGAAGGGTGGAGCCACACTGGGAGGAAGGATAGGAAGTGGAAAAGGCCAAGCAAGCAGCAGGAATGAAGGCTTTGTAAAGTCTTCCCTTTGTCACTGCACATTTCTGTTAAACAGGACTTTCACACAGTTATGTTTTCCAGTGGAAGCCCCAATTGTTACTGCACTGACAGTAACCACAGCAACACGGCTTCCTGGTGGCAAGTTGCCCTGCATTTTCCCTTCCCCATTCCCCATGGTGCCCATTCCCCTCCTGCAGAAAACTCAGGAGTGGGGAGGGTTCTAGGTTTTTAAAAAACCTGTAATCGACATAGTGATATACCATCATATCAATTTATTGCTATGTCAAGTACCAATATAACCTCAAAAACGCCTCCCAGTGGCATGGGTTAACAAGAATAAGACTTGATGGTGATAACTTAGAAAAACAATATGTACAATTTTGGATTTTTCAGCTATGTCTATGTGGAATCTATCATATGGGACTTCAAAGAGGTAATCTGATGGAGGCTGTTAACAAACATTGCACAACTTTCCCCTCTCCCTTTCTATGTCTTGCAGGAGAAGCTAGAATATTTCTTTCTGATGGTGTTTGCCATTGAGGCAGTGCTAAAGATCATAGCCTATGGATTTCTATTCCATGCAGATGCCTACCTACGAAATGGCTGGAATGTGCTGGATTTTACCATAGTCTTTTTAGGGTAAAGAATCCAAGTTTCATGTATTTCTCTATGTGCTGAGGAGGGTAAGGTTCTGTGGGAAAATGTTAAAATGTCATTGGGAACAGTGTTAAATCAAGGGTATGGTTGGTTATATCAATGAAGGACAGATTGCTTCATCTCCAGAACATAACTATTTTAACTTCTGTGCAACTTGACTATTATGAGAGGTTGTGCATCTTTTTTCACATTACTCATTTTATATTAATGTATACATTAATCTTGGTATATACATATAGATAACAACAGCAAACTTTTTAAAAAACAACCCTTCTCCCCTTTGGGAGCTATGTTAACCCAAGGCCCTAGAAAGGGATATTTTGAACACCTCTTAGTAGGGAAAATTATGCAAGAGTAGCCACATTTTCATTGTGTCTGCTATAGGGAACACTGTAAGTGTGAAGAAGAGAAAAGTGTTTGCCAACAGAAGCAGATGGGCACCAGAGAACTTCACACCATGGCAGTCCTCCCATGTGCATCCACTACATCCTGAGTTGCTAGAATCATGTGTACTTCAAATTTTGTGTGCCCGGTAAATAACATGGTATACACACCAGCTGCACAAGATGTGAATCAGTTTTAAGTGGGAATACACAACTGAAATGGAAAAACATTAGTGTGGACCAGATGGTGTACAGAGATAGCTGCCACAGTACTGGCCATCAGGGTAAACTAGAAAAGTACAGATGGAGGTCACATTAATGGCTGCCAGTTGTTGCTCTACACTGCCTGGTTTACACTAGGATATCTTCATTCTTTATGTGAAGATATAAGCAGGATTTGCATGTGTGATTGGGTCAACTGTTGATCTGGGCAGGAGACAGTTATCCACGGCAGAATGGAGACTTGGGCTCTTACCTGGTCATTCACAGACAGGGATGTCTTCTCTAGAATCTCACTGATCTTATGATTCAGCAGTCAGGATTTCAGGAGCCCATGGAGACTTTCACTCGCTCTAACTAAAAGCACGCTAACTAAATTCCGTCATTTCCTCTGCCCGTTAGTTCACTTTGCAAAGAGCCTCGGTGCCTTCAGCCATGATGGACAGACACCTTTGCTCATTGCTCTAACACATGGGATGCGGCAATCCACATTTATTAGGGAACCTAGTTCCATTGAACAAAATGGGATTTACTTCTAAGAAAAAAATTGTTAGGATTACACTGTAAATCATCACTCCACATATAAAGTACTGAGACTGATGCATGGAGGAGTGATTTCAGCTCATACTTTATTATATACAGGAGAACTTGAGATGGAGTAGCCAGGCCAGAGGCCGGCTTATATCTCCATAGTATACCACACCCAACACACACACATACACCCATGATAGGATATTTACAGAGCACCCAAGCCCCATAGGTCCATTCTCGGATCCTAGCCATCCGATAGGCACACCTTAGGATCTGTTCAGGCTATTGTCTCTGGAAGCGAAGCTTGGGCCGTTCGCATGGGCACGTGTGGACCCGACCGCGTGCATAGTTTTTTACTGATCTTATGATTCAGCAGTCAGGATTTCAGGAGCCCATGGAGACTTTCACTCACTCTAACTAAAAGCACGCTAACTAAATTCCAAGTCATTTTCTCTGCCCGTTAGTTCACTTTGCAAAGAGCCTCGGTGCCTTCAGCCATGATGGACAGACACCTTTGCTCGTTGCTCTAACACATGGGATGCGGCAATCCACATTTATTAGGGAACCAAGTCCCATTGAACAAAATGGGATTTACTTCTAAGAAAAAAATTGTTAGGATTACACTGTAAATCATCACTCCTCATGAGTGCAGTTGCCATGTTCTGAGGCTCTGAGCCAATGTTGGTCTGTCCTGAATAAATCAGGCTGATTTTGCCATTCTAGCATAAACCTTTCTTTTCGACTGTTTATGATGATGTGGTGAAAATTGCTGATAAACAGAGTTACTCCTGTCCAAATGTCTTGAAATCAATGGCTTGGAGTAACTCTGCACAGGTATCACAGTAGCAACCATGCAACATGGCAGGCATGCTCCATTTCCTCTGAAGACACAAATGGGAAGGTGTCTGATCCATGTGCCACCGTGTTTTCAGCTCACTTTCCTTCAACGCTTCCTCTCACAGAGTCTTCACAGTGATCTTGGAGAGAATCAGCGTAATGGAGAGTGCACTTCTCAGTGGACAGGGTGGTTTTGACGTCAAAGCACTGAGAGCCTTTCGTGTTCTACGGCCCCTACGCCTGGTTTCGGGAATACCAAGTAGGTGACATTTTCGTAGGTTTTCATGATTGGATGCATGAGGAAGTCTAGAGCTAAGATGATGGATTACAGTTTCCAGTACATTTTTGATCATAGCTGCAATTAGATCAGAGAAATAAGTAACATAAAATAAAAAATATTATGTTATTGCATTCTTATATTCTTATTTTAGAAAAGAGATGACTAAGGAGAGACATGATAGAGGCTTATAAAATTATGCATGGGATGGAGAGCGTTGACAGAGAGAATTTTTTCTCCCTCTCCCAAAATACTAGAACTCGGACTTCCAATTTTCAGCGACTCACAAACAAACGCACTCCATCGAACTCCGATGGGTGCGATTCAGATCGAGGCGGCAGGGAGGGGGTTCAGAAGCCTTCGATCCCCCCCCCCGAAGCTCTTGTAGGGAGCTTCTAGCCGGGAGCACTGAAGGAGCCGCTCCCAAAGCCGCGGCTGGAGAATTGAGGCTCTTTTTAGCTCTTTAAGGTCCTGCTGACCCGAGGCCAGCAATGGTGACCAGAGACGTTACCGGACCAGAGCGTGCAAGGACTTAAGCAAAAGGACTCTTCCTATGGGATGACACCCAGCGGGGAAAAAATAGTGAGTGAACAAGTTTCAAAAGAAAGACAAAAGTAAAGAGGGTGGAGGAACTGACAGTGAGACGGAAAAAGCCCCATAGAGAAAGGGGGGGGAATTCTCGGGAGGAAGAACCCTACCCTACAGCACAAAAAGCAGCGAAATGGGAAGCAAGCTGACAATAAGCTGTTAGAAACCCACCCAACTCAAGCGGATTGCAGTGGGGCTCATTATTCAGTCCAGAGAAAAACCTTAGAACTTTTAAGAACTTTTATCTTAATGTAAACAATGTTGCGGTGAGGGGGGGAAACGGCATCCAGAGGTAGAGGCACCACAGGAAACGTCAGCACAGCATCACCGGTCACAAGACTGGAAACTACCACCGATATAGCTGGTACGATTTCTGAAGCCTTGCGCCCCTGCTGGATCAGCTGACAAATCTCAATAAGAAATTTGATGATTTGCAGAAGGAGCTGAAGGAGACCAAAGATGAATCAGAGAAGACGGTCAAAAAGCTAAAAAAAGGTTGAAACTAAGACCAAAGAGATGGATCAAAGAATGGACATTGCTGATAAAGAAAGAACTTCTGAAAAAAACAATTACTACAATTACAAGTGGAAAGATCCCTATATGTTTTAAGATTTCAAGGAGCACCGGGGAAAAAAGATGAAAATTGAAGAGAAATCCTAAGTAAAGCATTGGCCCCCTTGATCAACAGCAAACCTGAAATATTTAATATTTCAGGGGAAATATTTGTTAAATTTGCAAAAAGATCAACAAGAGACTCGATACTTAAAGCTTCTACTGCCACAACATTAAAAATCCAAGAGGAGGAGATAAAAATGCTGAAAGATGTTCCATTTGAAGTAATACAGAAACATCACAACATTTCTTCAAAAGAACAATGTCTAAGACCGATGGGTTTTACTAGAAGGTCTTATATTCAACTACAGAGAAGAAGGAAAAGATTGACTCTCTCTCTAAAGCAGAAGCATTCCTGAAGCAGCATCAAACTCCGACAAAAATACAGATGTTGCTGTCTGATTGTGCAATTCAAATCTGTTTGGGAGGAGCAATGACATGGATTTAAGAGCTCATCTGATTGCAGCCTATATAATAGCTATGAGATCTGTTGTGAAATTTAGTAGTTTTCCCCACTGAAATGCAGATGGATGCCTGTGAATCTGAAAGGCCCTTTCTGCCCCTGTCTTTTCCTCAGTTTCTGAGCACATCTCAGTCTTCCATTCTGCATTCCCTTCTGCTTTCACAGCCACTTTGTGTTGGGCTTCTTCTCGGTTCTGCTTTTTTAAAAGAGAGATCAGCACTCAGACCACTTCCAGGACACTGTTGCCCTGCACTTCCCGAAAGTGCTTTTGCCGTCAACCTTTGTTGTGCTCCATTTTTAAATCAATACTACTATTTAAAGTAGAATTATTTCTGTGACTATTTAAGCACCGGCCACTGCCATCCTGTTTCAGTCTCTTTCTCTTTGGTCTATATTAGGCGGCCAATTTACATGATAACTGGTTTCCTCATGGGCAATTGCCAAACGTTTACATTTATTTAGAATCCACAGTGGTTTGGAGGATGGGAGAGTTACTGAAAAAAACAGTGTTTCAAGAAGCACTTCTAAACCAAACAGACTTTGATCACAAACATTTCCCTCAAAATAAAAATGGATGCATGGATTGATGGTTTGAGTTTTGATTTGGTACTAAGCGTTGATAATTGTATATTATCCCTGGGTTATTCCCATTACATAATGTTAGCTAACATTGCCCTGTTAACACTGAAATGCCTCATCCACTCAATGTCATTCCAATTTTCTTGGAAGAATTCCTCCCATCAGCCAGGGCTCTATGAAAAGGAAGAGAACATAAGAACATAAGAGAAGCCAATGCTGGATCAGGCCAATGGCCCATCCAGTCCAAAACTCTGTCACACAGTGGCCAAAAATAGCAGGTGCCATCAGGAGGTCTAACAGTGGGGCCAGGACACTAGAAGCCCTCCCACTGTTGTCCCCCTCAAGCACCAAGAATACAGTGCATCACCTGCCCCAGCCTGTGAGTTCCTATCTATACACGGGGCATTGAAGGGAAGGGAGAAATATCATGCTGGCACCTTGGCTAGTCCTTCTCCAAAGGATAAGAGCAATAAGGGCTCAAAACACACTTTCTTCCATGAGTATGCAGAAAGCATAATCCTTAGAGACTTGAGTTTCCAGCACAAAGTGCTGAACAATAATTACATATGAAGAATGAAAGGAAATGATTCGAATCAAAGGCATACCACCTCAAGTTCTGGGGAAATCAGGAATAAAGACTGAATGCAGAAAGGCCCAAAGATTCACAATCCAAGGCTAAGCAGAGTTCCTCCCTTACATTGATTTCACTGAGAAGAAGAAGGAGGAGGAGG